GCAGGGTAGCAGGAAGCTCAGGAGTAAAAGATTTATACAGTGAAAATTATAGTACTCTGAAAAAAGAGATTGAAGAGGATTTAAGAAAATAGAAAGATATTCCTGCTAATGGAGAGGGAAAACCAACATTGTGAAAATGGTCATACTCCCAAAATTATTACAAAGATTCAGTGCAATCCTGACTAAAATACCACTAGTATTCCTCACAGATGTAGAGAAAACAATCCTAAAATTTATCTGGAACCAGAAGAGATCCAAAATAGCAAAAGCCGTCCTGGGAAATAAAGGAAAGGCAGGAGCATCACAATCACTGACATGGAAGTATACTACAAAGCTATTGTGACAAAATCAGCACGGTACTGGCAAGAAACAGAGCAAAGGATCAATGTAACAGATTAAAAGGTGCAGACACAGCTCCAGACACACGCAGCCACATTGCCTTTGACAAAGGGGTCAGACTTGGTGCCAAACACATTCACTGAAAGAAACAGCCTCTGTAATAAATGGTGCCAGAAAAACAGGCTTTGCATGTGCTGAAGGCTGAAATTAGACCCTTGTCTGTCATCATGCACTGAACTATAATCAAAATGGTTCACAGACTTAAATATTGAAACATAAACACTAAGTCTCCTGGAGGAAAAAGTTGGTAGAAATCTTAAAGACATAGGAGTAGAAAGAGAGTTCAGGGACAAACGCCAAACTGCAAGGGAAAGACTTCACACAATCAACAACTGTGACCGCAACATTTTGAACAGTTTCTGCATGTCAAAAGAAATCACCAAGAGAGTGAAAAGGAAACCCATGGATTGGGAACAAGTTATGGACAAATGTCCTTCTGACAAAGGCCTTCTATGTAGAACATGCAAGAATTTTTTAAAAATCAGGCCCCCAAAATTCAAAGACCCAATCCAAAAATAGGCATCTGAGATGAATATATACTTCTCAGATGAAAAAATACAAATGGCAAATAAATATATGAAAAAAATGTTTAACATCATTGGTCATTTGAAAAATTCAAATTAGAGGCTGGTGAGATGGCTCAGTGGTCTAAAGCACCTACTTAGAACAAGCTTAGCAAAGCACAGGGACTGGGGTTCAATCCCCCAGCACCACATGCCAGCCAGCCCTGCCCCCAGGTGGGCTGAGCTGGCCACACACACACACACACACACACACACAAATAAATAAATATAAAGAAAAAGAAATGGTTTGATAATTATAAAAAAAAAAAGAAAAATTCAAATTAAAACAACAGAGATTTCATCTCACCCAAGAAAGAATAGCTATCATCAAGAAGTCAATCAACAGCAAATGCTGGAGGGGGCTTGGGGGAAAAAGAACCCTTCTCCACTGTTGTTGGAAGTATAGACTGGTGCAACCATTATGGAACTCAATGTGGAGATTACTCAAAAATCTAGGATTGGAGGTTCTATGCAAGCCAGTTATTCCTCTTCTATTTTCCAAATGAATCATACCACAGCGATATATGCGCACCCATGTTTATAGCAGCACAGTTTGTCATATCTAAATCTTAGAAACAACCAAGAATAGATTAGAAAAAGATATGGTATCTTTACACAGTGGAGTATTTGAGGCTTTTGTAGATAAATAGATGCCTCTAAAGACTATATTGGCAAGTGAAATAAATCAGATGCACATGTGCAAACACTATTATCTCACCAGTGTGAGAACACTAAAGAGTAATTAAAATATGAAAGGTACAATAGACACTGTGAAAAGCAAAAGAATCTGTTCAACAGGAAGGAAAACTGGGGATGAGGAAGAAAAAGACGAGAGAAGGGAGTGGGGGAGAGATACAGGTGTGTGTGCGTGCAGGACGGCCGGATAACTGTACTGCTGATTTCTGCTGATCTGTTGAAGGCAGCAGTTAATGCAAAATGTTTTTTCATCTTTTTAATTTCTTATAACTTTTTTTGAAATATTGCACACATGTACCTGGTGAGTTAAACAAGGAATCTGAAGACAACACTATGCAGTACAACAACAAACACTGTCAGATTCATATCATTTTGTTTAGTAAAATTCTGTATCATTTCTAATGTTTTTTATTATTTTGTATTTCTTTTAAAAATAAAGCCCAAATCAATTGAGAGCATAACAGTATCTGTGAACTGGGAGCTTCAGCATATCAGAAGTCTTTCCACATGGATCTGCAGATTTAGTGTCATTCTGACAAATGTATAGATAAACTAACATACTAATTTTTTATAACTCACTTAGTAAAACAAAGAAACATGCTGTAGCTAAAGTTTTGACAAACTTGTACTTTTGGGGCCAGCAAGATAGTTCAGTGGTCTAAAGCGCATGCTTAGGCAAGGTTAGGCAACCGCAGGGACCACGGTTCAATCCCCTGCACCACAAGCCATGCCAGCCCCGCCCTCAAGGCAGGCGGAGCTGGCCACACACACACACACACACACACACTTGTACTTTTAATACTTATGAAAAATGTAAACACTGGGCTGGTGAGATGGCTCAGTGGTCTAAAGCACCTATTTAGAACAAGCTTAGCAAAGCACAGGGACC